TAAAGAATTAAGTAGAATAACATGAATTCATGTTATTTTCCAAGGTTCCCATCTACTGCTTATGCATAAAACAGTGAAATTCGTTTGATGTTGAATAAGTATGTTGTGGTGTTTGATTAATTTAGGAAAGAAAACAAAATATCTTATCACTCCAGGTACTTACTTACTTACGCCTGTTACCCCCAATGGAGCATAGGCTGCCAACCAGTTTTCTCCAACCAACTCTGTTCTGGGCTTCCTTCTCCAGTTCTGTCCAATGTTTGTTCATTCCTCTCATATCTTTCTCTATTTCTCGGAGTAATGTGTTCCTTGAACTTCCACTTTTCCTTTTGCCTTGAGGGTTCCATGTGAGGGCTTGTCTTGTGACGCAATTAGATGCTTTTCGTAGTGTGTCCTATCCACTTCCACCGCTTCTTCCTGATTTCCTCCTCCACTGGAATCTGGTTTGTTCTCTCCCAAAGTAAGTTGTTGCTGATTTTGTCTGGCCAACGAATCCGAAGTATTTTGCTTAATCACGCTAGGTGGATCTTATTAAATTGACAATGTAAACTCAAACACGCAATTGTTTCCTACACTTCAACCATTCATCGATTGAGAGCACTAAGCAGATCTGAGTAAAACTGTACATCATACTACACTATTAACAAATACAAAGGATTGGAAACATACATGTTTCAAGTCACATAATTTCTCTCTATCCATATGTCTGGAATATCAACCCATCATTTCACTTATATCACAGGATTATGATTGATGAAATGACAAATAGAAAGTCAATAAAACTGAAGAAATTTAAAAAATAAATATAGTGCTCTGTTGAAGAGTTTAGGATATCAAACTAATTAACAACTAATCATTGACCTAAAAATATTGATTGATTACGTAATACAGTAGTGGAACTTTGATCAATGTGAATTGAGATCGGTCAGTTAATAAAAAAATAGCTTGAAATTATGAATTTGAAAGAACAGGGCAACGATGTATTCCAAAAACGGCGGAGTTACTAAATTAAGAAATAAAATCTACCAGTATTTCATTTTTAATATGGAAATCTGGCTTGAAATGATCGACAACCAGGAATGGTAAAGTGTGGTTGTTAGATTTTGTAAGATTTCTTTGTATCAACCTGATGTCAATGAGTTGTGGCTGTTAGAGCTAAAATAACGTTAGACAAGAGACATAAATTATCAGAAGTAATGAATGGTAGAGGTACAATATTGCAATATGCCTCGACGAGCGACGTTGTCTGATTGATGAGTAGACTGGAAAAATGATAGCGGTGGTCAAACAGAATCATTGCACACATCAATGAAGTCTTTGAGAGCTGGAATGAGTCATGTTTGTAGATGTAGACTACCTGGTCCGAGTCCGCGAGATGGTAGTAACCGTTGGTTGCCATGGCGTAGATATATCCATTCTTCAACCAATGTAATCTTAGATTCTGAGTAAACTGACACTTTATTATTGATCTATTTATATGTGCAACATAATTTATGACAGATGTATGTTTGTATTGTATGTACAAATATCTCAAGCCAACAAGGCTTGTTCCAGTCTTTGGACAAATTAACTAATTCATTCTTGTCGACACCTTATTCACACATCTTTCAGGCTTGTTAATTATCGGTTTGTAACCCTGACTGTTTTTATTTGAGTGCCTATGTGTATTAGTTACTTCGTTTATTAAATGTCTGACTATAAGCACTTTGTCATTTCTCATGGCATTGAGTTGGATCGCTCACCTTCTCCACTTCTCTTCGCTTGTACGTTTTATCTTCTCATGTCTGTCTGAGTGAATAATTGCTTGAAATAGACCCATCCAACTGAAACCACCTTTGACTTCTTCTTATCATTGTCGCACAAAACGGAGTTCACATAAGTATGATGAGACCTACCTACTTTAAATATCTTCGTAATAAATAAAATGTAACACTTCTGCTGTTTCATCGCTTAAACTATGTTAATTCATAAGACGAACAAATTTATTTAGGACATAAATGATCAAATCAGTCCATGCTCATGATCGTTTTAAACTGGTCATCCCTGTAAACGCTGTTACCTTCTTATCTGTTTAGATTTCCATTAACCGTTCTGTTAGGTCGATCTCTGTTTATGTAGTCAATTGATCACAACAGCATTTATTAGTTGACTTGATTTGTGTTGATAGTGAACGATGGTGGATTGATATCTACGCCTAGATATTTGCAATTCTCTAACAATATTTAAGTGTTTTCGGTCTAGAATTTAGACATTTCAAGAGTCATTTTGGTGTTGATAATTATCTGTCCACATTTATATAAGCGATTGTATAGCATCAAGTCTAACCGCTTGATAGTTATGTTTGCTAAATAAAATCAAACAACAATGTATCCCATTGTTGAAAAACCCTATAGAAAATGCTCACTGACAGACAGACAGATACAACGCAGAACTTCGTATATAAGTACATCAGTTCAGGTTGCCAGAACACATCAGCACAGAGACGCAACTGTCAGTTCAAATTCAAGAGTGATAATGATAGTAGAAGTATTAGCAGTAATGCAAAAGATTAGGGAGCGAAGATATGATTCGAGAAGTATAATTCAGTGAGGTAAATTTATAAGGAGAAAGATAGAGATGATGAGGAATTCAGAAGTTTAGAATTAGAGAGAACACAAAGAGTGGATACACCTGCGCCATTGCAAACGATTTTGAGCCATATCGTTCAAGGTCTCTAACCATTGGTGACTATCGTCTCACGGATCCCAACCAGATAGCCTACATCTATCAACATGACTCAGTCCACTAGTCAGTGACTTCATGGATTCCTGCCATGTTTTGGTTTGGCCACCCCTAGCTTTCTTCCAACCTACTCCTACACCACAAAACATAGCTCGTCGAGGCAGTCGGTGGTTAGGCATACGTAACAAATATCCCAATCACCTCAACTGATGAAGTTTCACTAGTTCATCTATTGATTTGTCATCCCTACCTAGTACTCATTTCCTAACAACAGCATTCCTTATACGGTTATCCCAGGATACACGAGCAATGCTTCGAAGACACCTATGATCGAAAACCAATAACCTACGAAAGTCCTCTACTCTTAACGGCCATGTTTCGCATCCGTATAGTAGGACGGAGCAAACTACTGCACAGTAAACTCTTTCTTTTGGTCAGCAAACGGATATCTCGCCTACGCCATAAGTGGTTGGCGAACGCTAACTGAGCCTTCTGTATCCGAGCTGAGATTTCGTCAGTCACCAGGCCATCAGCACTGATGAGACTCCCCAGTTACGTGAAGCGGTCTACAAAAAGGCTCATATAAAAATACATTGAAAACTACTGAAAAAAAGACTAAAGTGAATAAATCTATAATAAGAATATTTAATCATTCGATTTTTTTTCGTTGACATCGAATCTCTGAGGCACGAATAAATGTGAATTGAATAGTAGAAACTGCGCATACAAGTTGAGAACTCCTTCAGATTCGTTATAGCTCATAAGCCAAAACGTAAATTTTACTCCATCCTATGCACTGATAAGACGATGATTGTCAGACAAGGTTGCTTACTCTCATCCTTTATCTTTGACCTGGTGATCGACTGGATTATGCAGACGTCAACATCTGGATGGAAGCACGGTATTCAATGGACAGCTAGGATGCAGCCAGATGATTTGGACTTCGCAGATGGTCCATCTATTTTATCCCACACGCAATAACAAATGCAAGAGAAGACGATCAGAGTAGCAGCAGCCTCAGTAGCAGAAGGTCTCAACATACAGAAAAGAATAAGCACCATTCTGCAATACAACACTAACCAAATCATACTTGACACAGAAGCCTTGGATCATGTAAAAACCAATACACATCAAGGTAGCATCATTTATGAGAAAAATGGATCTAATGCAGATGTTAAGGTGAGGATTAATAAAGCAAGGGTAGCATTTATACAAATGAATAAAACCTGGAACTCAAAACAACCGTCTTCCAGACAACACCAAAGTCACAATTTTCAATACAAATATCAAAAAAGTTCTACTGTTTGGCGTAGAAACTTGGAGAACTATAAAAGCCATCATACAGAAGGTACAAATTTTGATTAACAGTTATCTGCACAAGATACTTCGGACCTGTTGGCCAGATACCATCAGCAACAACCTATTGTGAGAGAGAGCGAAGCAGAATTCTGAGGAGGAGGAAATCAGGAAGAAACGCAAGAAGTGAATAGGACACATATTGCAGAAAGCACTCAACTGCGTCACAAGACAAGCCCTCACTTGGAACCCTCAAGGTCAAAGAGAAAGATGAAGGCCAAGGAACACATTACACCGCGAAACGGAGATAGACATGAGAAAATTGAACAATTAACGGACAGAATTGTAAAGGAAGGCTCAGGATAGAGTAGGTTGAAGAATGAATACTGGTCGGTGGCCTATGTTCCATTGTGGGTAACAGGCGTAAGTCAGTAAGTAAGTAAGCACGTAAAGTTATGCATTCAGCTGTTCGAATAACACAAATCAATAATAATTTGAAAGTTTTCTTTTACAAACTTCTTTCAATCATGATAATAAGTCTGGAATAAGTAAATAAAATCATTTCTAATTCTTCTGTCTATTTTTTTTCAAAATTTCAGAATTTTCACACATCTAATCACAACTTTTTGACACATCTAAATAGCTTTTGATATATATATCAATTTATAGAATAAGATTTTACACACACACAATTATTTCTTGTTACTAAATTAAATTGGTTTATTTATATTAGACGCATATTAGAAGCATATTTAACGACTAGTTACAATATGACTCAGTATTCTTTTTAACAAAAGCCTTTAGATATTTGCATAATAGAGAGAGAATTCACCTAATAAAACCTTTGACCTTAAATGCTATGTAAACAAAAACTGATACATTGTATCCAATTAGTTGGTTCGTTGTTAAGTCCGTAACTATGACGACACTAGGATAGATTTATATATATAAATATACACATATAAAAAGCCAGTGACATCTAGGTTCAAGCTAATTTTACGTCTCGTCACTTACGCTCAACTCACTCACCCACTCACTCAATTCAATATGCGTGAAATTGTTCATATTCAAGCTGGTCAATGTGGAAATCAAATCGGTGCAAAGGTGAGCAACAATCATTTTCACTAGGTAATATCTCAGTTTTGGGAAGTGATTTCAGATGAACACGGAATCGATCCAACTGGCACATATCATGGAGATTCTGATCTTCAACTAGAACGAATTAATGTATATTACAATGAAGCCACTGGTGGTAAATATGTGCCTCGTGCTATCCTTGTTGATTTGGAACCTGGCACTATGGACAGTGTGCGTGCTGGTCCGTTCGGTCAACTATTCAGACCAGACAATTTTGTGTTTGGACAAAGTGGAGCTGGAAATAACTGGGCAAAAGGTCATTACACTGAAGGTGCAGAATTGGTTGATTCAGTATTGGATGTTGTACGCAAAGAGGCTGAATCATGTGATTGCTTGCAAGGCTTCCAACTGACTCATTCTCTTGGTGGTGGGACAGGTTCTGGGATGGGAACCCTGCTAATTTCAAAGATCCGTGAAGAGTATCCAGATCGTATCATGAATACTTTCTCAGTAGTCCCTTCACCAAAGGTAAATTAAATTCTTGCTAAACATATTTTCAGGTATCTGATACAGTTGTCGAACCGTATAACGCCACTCTCTCAGTCCACCAACTTGTAGAAAACACAGATGAGACATACTGCATTGACAACGAAGCACTCTACGATATATGCTTCCGCACTCTGAAACTCACCACACCCACCTATGGGGACTTGAACCACTTAGTCAGTGCAACAATGTCAGGAGTGACAACGTGTCTTCGATTCCCTGGTCAACTGAATGCTGACTTGAGGAAACTCGCTGTGAACATGGTACCATTCCCACGTCTTCACTTCTTCATGCCTGGATTCGCACCTCTCACTAGTCGTGGTAGCCAACAGTATCGTTCTCTAACCGTTCCTGAATTGACGCAACAAATGTTCGATGCAAAGAATATGATGGCTGCATGCGATCCACGTCATGGACGATATCTTACAGTAGCAGCAATATTCCGTGGTCGTATGTCTATGAAAGAAGTTGACGAACAAATGCTCAACGTGCAGAACAAGAATTCAAGCTATTTTGTTGAATGGATACCTAACAATGTGAAAACAGCAGTATGTGATATTCCACCAAGAGGTTTAAAAATGTCAGTCACATTCATTGGAAATAGTACAGCTATTCAAGAATTGTTTAAACGTGTCAGTGAACAATTCACTGCTATGTTTCGACGTAAAGCTTTCTTACATTGGTATACAGGTGAAGGTATGGATGAAATGGAATTCACTGAAGCTGAATCCAATATGAATGATCTTGTCAGTGAATATCAACAATATCAAGATGCAACTGCTGAAGAAGAAGGAGAATTTGAAGAGGAAGAGAATGAAGAAGCATAAATAAAATTATCAGCTTAGGTATTAGTTAAAATACATTTTGCATGGTTTTTTTTTCCTTATTGTAATGTATTTTCCATTTTTGTTAAAAATAAAAATCTTATTGATGATAACGTGTGTGTGTATTTATTCAGTGCTTGATTTAGTGATAGGCTAAGAAACGTTGAGCCTAATTAAGTTTTTCTTCATCAATGAATAAGCCAGTCAATAAAAGATACGTTTTCGTTGAATTGTGAGATACTCTGAATGGATAGGGAGTTTACTCGTCTAGTGTATCGTGTATAAAAGCTTGAATGAAATTCGTCTCCATTAATATGATTTACTTATTGTGGCTAGAATGTTAACAATCCTGGAACACATTCTTTCATTTTCACTGAAGATTTTCGTTAAGATAGAAAAATGAAGTCTTAAGTTATTTACTTACTTGCTTACTAATGCCTGTTACCCCCGAATGGAGCATAGGCCACCGATCAGCATTCTCAAACCTACTCTATCCTGGGTGTTCCTTTGCTGTTCTGTCCAATTTTTGTTCATTCTTCTCATGTCTGTCTCTATTTCTCGGCGTAATGTGTTTTCTGGTCTTAAGTAGTGGATTGCGATTGATTCCACTTTTCGAACTTATGACAAAGTGTAAAATTATCTTTGCTTTTTTTCGAATACTAAAAAGATTAAACATGATATTGATGATTAGGTGATTTCTCGGATCATTAGTTGCTTAAAATGATATCTTTATTTCGCGTAATTGTATAACTGACTGATAATGCAATCAATGATTTCTCAAACCTAACTATAATCAAAATGAACCGTTCTAAAGTGTATACACCAACTAACCTTTATGCGATAATAATTTTATAGGATAATTATTTCAGTTACTTCGCCTTAAGTATATCATTCGGTCCGTGAAACAATAAATTCGGTCTTAACTTACAATGGTATTCACATATGTATAGAGGATTGTAATTAGAACAGATATCTGTTTACTTCACTGTTGACTATATTCTGTTTGAGTAACATTCAGATATCCTTATTTACAGTTAGCTTGGTGTAAGAAAATGTTATGCAGCACAACTTTCTACCACAGAGAAAACAAATCCGTAATGTTGTATATCTGGTTAGCTTTGTGAATGACAGTTGGGGATTGACAGTTAAGAACAGACTATATATATAGTGCAATTCGAAACACCTCATATCAACTTGAGCCGATGGTCTGAGTTTAAAAGTTGACATAATATCCATAAAAACTGAACTATCAAATCCAGAACTATTTACAATTCAATTACTTTTACCACTGAAAGATTCTCTACATCTGAAAGCAACATTGTGTAGGTAATGCCTAGGTCAAGTAAGATTGATTAGAGCATAGCGATGATAACCCAGTTGATGTAAGTATCTTAAATCACTGACATGTTTCCTGATCATGTCTCAGAAATCACTATACCATACTGCGACTGCATGAAAATAGTGTTAATGTGGTCACTTTATAATATGAGTCAGTCTAATGAGCTGTAGCTCGATGGAATCGACCTCTACCGGTCTACCATCGTATAAATGATATCTTTTGAATTAGAGTTATGAAGATCAGTGTTCTGACATATTTAAATCGTCAGTCAGTCATTGTTAGACCACCATCAGAAACTTGGAAGCACTGAACGGCTGTTTCGTTCTGGTATGGAACTCATCAGCACTGTGCATCCATGACTCCTGCTCACTAATGACCAGCTTCGTGAGGAAATCCTCGGAGTTCTAGTGAGGAGACGTGACCAGTGGAGTTCAACCCTGCTGGGTGTTGGCAGTAACTACCTAAGACAAGTGGGTGGGGTCGCGCTAAATCCCTAGATTGATCAGAGTTAGACACTAAAACCGCTGGATGCCAGCCCTGTGGTCCAGAGGTTAGGCGTTCGCGCCCAAGACCGAAGATCCTGGGTTCCAATCCTGTGATTAGGAGGAGTCGTGGATGGGCACTGCTGATGAGTCTTATACCAGGACGAAACGGCCGTCCGATGCTTCCAGGTTTCTAATGGTAGCCCAACAGTGACTGATTGATTATTTCACTGTGTATAAATGATATTCTAAATTCATACAACTCAGAGGTGATTGACATTTTCAAAATTGGCTAACTATAACTTTTAGTAGGAAGCCTGCAGTAATTTGCTATCGGAGATTTATAAGCTAAAATATGTCGCCAAAAACTGACCGAATTCTCAAATCAGCTATAAGATTACTACTGTTGTTAGAGGAAATATCCTTCATCCTTTCGGCATTTTTAAAAAACTAGTCAATCCATCAATGTTAGGCCACCATTACAAAACCTGGAAGCACTGAATGGTCGTTTTGTCCTGATATGGTATTCACCGGCAGTAAGAATCTACTGCTCCTATTGTAGTGAACGAGAACACAGGTGGAGGCAACCGAATTGTATTTAACGAAAATTACAGAGTTACTCAGTAAAATCGGAAAACCATATCGTAAATCGTTCATTTGCAAAAGATCAGTTCATCCTATGGAACTGGACTGTTCCTGTTGCCAAACATCAATCCATTGTCACTCTTCATGCGTTTCATACAAATTCCATTGTTTTCTGACTCTTCCTTTCTTGATCTTCCCCCCATATTAAGCTACCAGACTTTACGTTGACACTCACGCTATATACTACTTATAAGTAGTTCGCACCACAGCACCACACTATTACTTGCAGGATTAGGACACAGGACCTACGGTCTTCCACTCGAACTCCCAACCTCTGGACCACTGAGCTGGTATCTACAGTTGTTAATGTCTAATTTCTATGAATCCCTCGTCTTTCGCACTGATGGATTTATGATTTTCAAAAATAACTTAACAATCTCCACCACCCTTCCGTGCGAACTTTCAGCATTTATTAAACTTTGTTCAGGAAGATTAGCTTTTTCACCGTTTCAGAGTCGACAACTGGTTTAACAGAAATCAACTTTCAAATAACTATGAGCTGATACAAATTAGTAGAATTTTAAGAACAATATTAGTTTCATATAACTAGTCTCCTTCTAAACAAGACAAGAATGATAGTCTTTGAAACCACGAAATGATCAAAGTTAGACATTGATTAATAACCTGAAAGATCTGAACGTCTGCTCCTCAGCAGTATTCATCTATGACCAGGAATCAAATATAAGACATTAGGGTTTCACTCGCAAACGCTTATCCCTCAGACTGTTGAACCTGCATACATTTCGTATAAATGTAACAATCGTCAGTCGATAACAGTGGACAACTATCTTCCATTGTCTTCAGTGAGTATCTTCCTCATCTCCTACACAGTTTGGTACCGCTGGTTACGACCTCTCATTTGAACTCCGAAAATTTCCTCTCATAGTTAGTCACAAGTGATAATTGTCATTTCAGGGTTGCGGAGTTTTTTTTCAGTGGATGTCTAACCTATAACAGTTTGTGGTTTCGATTGAAATTCAACAGAATTATTATTTGAATTGAATGTTTTAAATTATCAAAATTAATGTTTTACTGTATGATGTAATAAGGATGTATTAAGAGCGTATAAAAACAAATCAAAAAGTCAATTTCGAGTTGAACTCACTGATTTGTAGTCAAAATTACCATGATAATCAATAAGGAATTAGCTATTCTTTTGAAGCTTCAAGGTTATGATCAGATCTTTCAAGTGCCATGAATGGTTCATTCAAATTTCAATGTGACAAAGTTAGAATATCGAAAAATTATTTTGAATACTCTCAATTTGGCCTAACCTTGAGTCTTTTGGTCAAATAAATGAAACAAAATCGAACTTTAAAGACTTTATTCTTCACTTAGAATGACAATATTTTCAAATGTATACTACTTAAAAGACAGCCGGTGAATACAATGTATTCATTCTGTTCTCCAAAAACAACAACGTTATTGCTTTGTTACAACAATTACCGACACACAGATCAGATCTTCTTAAGGGATTTGTTTATAGGAAGAAGAAGAAAGAATATCTCAGTACAACGATCTACTTGCCTCAATAGTTTATACTTACGTGTCTAATAAAGTTTATTTGTATTTATTAATTAAGTTTTGTCTGATAACAAAATATCTGATATCCAGTTCTAGAAATAACTACTGTGTAACTTCAATCATAGCCGTTGTGTACATTTATTAAACACCATCAGTTCAACACTGTTTAGGGAAGAAAACTTCTCGTAGAAGCATTTCATGAGAGATCTTGATATTCTGTACCTAAGTATCTATAGTAAATAATGGGATGAAGCTATCTACTTAGATCAACTCTTTCAATAACTATTCTGTTTAAATATTATGCCTGATCCAGTTAGGTTACTCAAATCACTCCAGTAAACTTTATCAGTCTTGATCTAATGCTGATATAAATAAGATTGAAGAAAATTCACAACTCAAAACAACTATCTGTCGACCAACAACACCTAAGTCACAATTCTCAGTACGAACTTCAGAATTGTTCTATTGTATGGAACAGAAACTTGGAGAACTACGAGAGCCATCATCGACAAGATACAGGTGTTTATTAACACTTGTCTACACAAAATACTGCAGATCTGTTGTCCAGACAACATCAGAAACAACCTACCAAGGAAAAGAATAAAGCAGACTCCAGATCAGGAAGATATTAGGAAAAAGAACTGGAGGTGGATAGGGGAGACACATTGAGTTAAGCACCGAAGACAAGCCGTCACTTGAAGTCCTCAAGGAAAAAAGAAAAGAGGACATTAGACCGAGAAATAGAGACAAACATGAGAAAAATGCACAAAAGTTGGACAGAACTGGAAAGGAAGGTCTAGGACGGAGTAGACTGGAGAACCCTGGTCGATAACAAGCGTAAGTAAGTAAGTCAACACTTTAACAATCAATCGTGAAATTCCTTTCATTGACATAAGCTCAATTAAAAAGAAATATGATCTTATTTTAGAGAAATGATAGTTTTATTCAACCTTTTTCTTCTGTCTTTAATATCAATAAATAAACATGAGAAAGTTAGATAAATTTCATTCATCTACAAAATATGCAAAGAGAAAAAAAGATGCAATTTATAAACAAATTAATTACATTTTTCTTTACATCATAAATATTTGTTTCCCTAAAATCTCATTCAGTCAACAAAAATCAACCAAAAAACTGTTTAATAAAGAGATAGATAGATAGATAGATAGATAGAGAGAAAGATCATATTAACCGATAGGCAACTTGAAACAAAAGAGAAGCCCAATTCTCTCTATAAATATATTCCACTTATATACCACCGGTTTGTGTCCTGTTCAGCGCAGCTTGACAATTCCCTAAATCTAAACATGTTATATACATATTTTGTGTAGAATTTTCATTGAAATGAATTGACTGTTTCGATGTTTGTAATCGTCTATCACCATTTTCATTTGGTATAATCGATGCAGTGGCGTATGGTGTTACAATTGGTGCATAGATTTGTCCGTTGACACAATGATTCAAATCATCATTCATGCTAGTCATAATTGTCGGTGATGTCAATACAATGGAACCTAATGAACCATTCTTATGATTATTATGATTATGAAAATGTTGCCTATTAGGAATTTGTTCCAAATAAATAGCTGAATCAAATGGTTCTGAACTAGTTTGTGAAGCAGATGTAAAAAAATGTGTTGAATTTGTTTTCAACGGATCTTGTGCATCATTTGGGAAATAAGTGATATTCGTCGGAGAATTCGGTGTCATTTGTCGTGTAGATGATAATTGTGTTACTATAGAATTAGTATGATTAATATTGTTATTACTGCTATTGGCTGAATTTCCTGTGATCCCATTAACTGTATGAAAATGATCTAATAGTTTACACGGTGATTTGATGATACGTGTTTCATCGGAATAATCAGTAGATTGTAATGCATAACTCCTTGAACTACTATTGGAATTATTCTCTGATGATTGTTTGTTTGTTGGTAAATAAGAAATTTGTGGATGTTTTGTTCTAGTGCTAAATGTTGTCTGTTCACCAGAACTAACACTTCCTAACATCATTATTGTGGATGTATTGTTTAAATGACCATTATGCTTTAGATTAGTAGATTTGTTATCGAGATAATTCAATTTCGATTTACAATTTCCATTATCCAATGTGGTAGTGTATTGAAAATTTGACTGAGACAATTGATAGGTTAAACGTTTTCGTTTACAAAATTTATGACGACGTATCCAACAGAGTATACACATACTGAATAGAATACACCATGCTAATAGACTACTGATGATTGCACTAATAAACCATGGTTGATGGATTAATTTGTCATGATTTGTTGAATAATTTGTTACAATCAAAGTTGATGATGATAATTGAACATTCTCTGTTGTTATAAATACAGACAAATCTTTATTATTATGATTATTATTATTATTATTCCTATTTTGTGCGAAATTTCTTTGACTGATATCAATTTTCAACGCCTCACTACGTACACCAATCCCAATACATGTATATGCAGCTAATTGAACATTGAACAATTTTGGCAATGCATTCAAATTGATAACAATTTTTCTACCTTCTGAACTAACATTTAAATGATGATAAGTTTGTAATAGTTCATCATGTATATAAACAATATAACCAAGAATAATTCCATTCCAATCGGATACAGGTGGTGCTGTCCAACCTAATTCTAAACTTTCACCAAATAACCAATTGGCAAATATATTTCTCGGTGCAGATATAGGACTAGCTTCGTAAGTTAACGCTGTATGTGTGAATATATCACGTGTTTCTAAATAATTCATTGATATTTCTTTAGTATGATGAAATGCTTTAATGCCAATTTCATAACAACGAAATGGTTTTAATTCAGTTAATACACTGGTTACTTTATGATTGATAGGTTGTGATAATTTATGACCGGGAATAGTTTGTGTATAATGAGCTTCAATCGTGACTGTAGATATAACACCGGGTAAAGAGGTCACTGAATCAGTGATATTATTACTCTCTTGTTCTTCATGATAAATTTGACGCATTAATTCTAAACGATTGTAAATTTCATGAATTCTAGTTGATCGATGAGGATGCTGATGATGTCGATAATTTTCAGGATTTAAACTGCAATAATTATTGACAAAATTCGGATCATTTGAATTCACTTGTAAATATTTGTTATTTAAACACTTGACATGTTCTACACTACGATAATAGATAATATATCCACTGATTTGTGATAGCACCGACAACTGTTCAACTACATTCCAACTGACATGAATAGTTTTCGAGGATAAAACATTAAGTTGAATATTTTTTAATTCAATTGGTTTAAAAGAATGCTGATTAGGTGAATGTCTCCATGAATATTTATCGTAGATTTGAGATGTTTTTGTTAGTAAAGGACCAAATGGATCACTTGCCCATCCTAAACGACCTTCATTTAGTCGAGCACGAATTATAATATAATATGGGATATTAGAATCGAGACCATTTAAAGTGATAATATTTACTGGCCAATTACGTTCAACTATTATCCATCCTTCATTGACTTTTACCGGTGTATATAGTTCAATCCAATAGTTCAATGATAAAATAAGTTTATCATGATTTTTAGCATGATAAATCAAAGGTGGATTCCATGTTAATGTGATACTTTGATGTGTTTTATTCATAATTTGAAAATTATTCGGCGCAGAAAGAGGATAGTCTTGTAAGTAGTCTGACAATCCGCCTTGTTTCTTTTTAGAAGAAAGTATAACATTCAAACTGACTGTTATAGCATAGTTTATATTTGTTTCATCTATTACTGAACATGTATATTGACCAGAATCATTTGCTCGAAGATCAATGATTTGTAAAGAACCAGTTGGGAAAATTTTAAATCTATTATCCGCTTTCTCGTTAATTATTTCTTCGCTATGTGATAATATAGATCGTTTCCAATGTACTTTCCAATTTTCTGTGTTTTGAATAGTAAAGGATTTATTATTGTGATTATAATTTTTGCTGTGTGAAGTTTCCAATTCATTTGGATGAATAATTTTCACTAATCTAGGCAATTCACAATCGATCAGTACAGATTCACCAATAAGTTGTGTTTTATTCGACGGTGGTAGCCCAATATAAGGTGAAATGGAATAAGCCGTTGATTTTGACAAATTTTCAACAATATTAGACGTTTTACTGTCTGTTTTTAATTTCTTAACATTTTCATGATGGTTGTTTAATAAGATTGTTGTAGATGTTATTGTAGGTATAGTTGTGAAATCCTTTTTTCTACGTTTTATTTTCAACATTGCACTTGTCTGTACCATATCAATGGATGAATGTGCAATACACTGATATTTACCAGCATCTTTCGAAGTGACCGCATTGATTTCTAATGTTCCATTCGTGTGAACAATATGTCGTGATGATGAGGATGTAGACTGCGTCGATGAATTATCTGTTGGAAATATCGGAGTTCTGTCAGGTAATTCCCAATAGATTCCAGGTTTTGGATTCCCATCAGCTATACATTCAAACTTGACATTATCACCAATATTCACCATTAAATTCACTGGTGACTTTATGAATGTTGGTGATGTTTCAACGACAAGATGTATTTCACCTTCTTCACTATTGAATGTAGTACAAATGTAAACATCAGAATCCGACGACATTACATGGTTAATGATTAAATCCTGTTTGATTTGTTGAATTCTTTCTGATACTGCCAATAGTTGTTTTGATTTACGACTCCATTTTATTGATTTATTCCTACTAATTGGACATGTTAACTTCACTGGTTGACCTTGTCTCACTCGAACATGTTTTGAAGTGACAGATTTTTGTCTCAATGGCTTTACACGTAAATTAGCTGGTTGAGATAATCTTTCTCCAACTGAATTCTTTGCAACACATATATAATTTCCTCTATCTTTCATACGAACTGGATTTAATCTTAAATTTCCATTCGACATCATTTCAATATTTGACATATCTGAATTGTAAGAATTTTGTACATGTCCTGCATTTATTACAGTTTTATTATTTTTTATCCATGAAATTTGAGGTTTCGGTAAACCTTTCGGAGGTGAACATTCAAGTGTTACACTAGTTCCTTCATCCACCTCAACATCAGAAGGATTTACGCTGAATTCATCATTTAAATAGACAATAGCTCCAATCACAGGTGGATCACTAATTGTCCATCCAATCGGATTCGATGCATTACAATAAACAGAATAAGATTTTCCCGGTATTGGATTAGAAATCATTAATTTGCCTAAATGTTTATTCACATGTATACTGGTTTGATAACCGGTTGTTTGTAATTTCTCTTCAATTAATTGATTTGTACTTGCATTATACCATAAAATTGAAGGTTTAGGATTTCCAATAGCTTTACAAGTGAATTCTAGTAAATGTTCATGTGTAATATGATCATTTGGTGCTTCTGTAATGATTGGTTTTTGAAAATCAACAGTGTGTTTGGTATTTGAAAGTTCCAATGAAAATAATGGAGTAATATTTGTAATGATAAAAATAATAATTATAATATTCATGTAACATGTATATAAAATAATTCTGTACATTTATGTATTTTCTGGTTTGTTTTGTTTGTGTTTTGTTTTCAAGATTAAAGCAATTCCACTGGACGACGATCCATGAAACATTGGATATTCCTTGTACAAGATTCAATGAATGCGCAAAATATAATTATTCTGAAATAGAGAGAAAAGTTAATTTAACAATGTAGGATTTTAGAAAAAAATATCAATTTATTTGTCAGCAGTGTTCTATGATTTGTATAATTGTTGGGGATGTTAGATCCCCAAAATTTGCTTGATAAATGCCTTATTTTGGTTTTTGCGTTTGCCAGCAGGGGCTGATCTGTTGACCTTGAGATTTCAATTCCCACCAGCAAAATCCATGGCTGTGATTGGCTGTTGTGTATTTTAGTGTGCTATTTTCTTAATTGTCCCAAGGACGTTTCTATGATGTATAAATAAACGAGAGTTGTATGCTTGATTGTACTGTGATTGCTGGGTGTTTGTAAAATATACTTTCTACGCTTACCAAGACTGCTGTTTCACTGTTTGGATTCAAGGTAGCCTACCTGGACGCTGGTAATTGTCTCGTTCGCGTTTATCGACTAAGGTAAACTCGTAATAGCCTCAAACATACTAGTGACGAACCCAATAATAATAAGTTGAAATGTAACCCTAACCCTAACCGAAATGTAACCACATGTAAGACTGATATTTTGAAGGTTTTGTTTGTGAAAATCCCTCTATGTTGTATACATTTGTAATTTGTTCTTATTGATTCCTTCAGTTGTACATTTTGTTAATCTGTTCAATTCCATTTTGAGATGATAATATTTGTATTTTATTATAGTTTCTATTTCTTTTGTCTACACTGAGTTTCTATGTTTCTTTCTGAACTGCATTATGTTGTTGTTTCAGCTGATACTTAGTCATGGCGATAGCTATGTAGATTTGTTCCTCTTTTGATTGGGTTGCTTGCTTTGACTGGAATTGTGCATTTTGATTGTGAATTGAAGCACTCTTCCATAATTAGAAACACTCTGTGTTATGAAGCAACCAAATATTATCTGTCGAACGAATCTGATCTATCCAGAAAGGATAGAATATCAGTTATCTGTTGCTGTTGATTTGAATAACTGAACAATTGTTGGTGGAATAACTGAGTGGTAATATTTGTTTAGATAATGATGTACATTTATATTTATGATGAATATTAGAACCGTCATTTACCCAAATCACTTGTTTTGGTTTCAACTGGGCAAGGCGCGTATCTAACCTTCCTTAGATAGTTATTCCTCAGTCGAAATCTTAGTTTGGATCCTAAAACACATACTTAAATTTTATGAATGAGTCCGTATCTATTTCATAATATTTTAAGCACAGAAATGGATGGTGGCCAGCGATGGAATCCAAGATGTGAGTTTCGCCGTACTTTTTTTTGGGAGCACTCACCGTGAGTTGAATGCACCTGTCCGATCTCACTAGTGATATTCACTCCGAAACTCAAACCCCTTACCAGTCACTTCTGACTCCACTGCATTATCGAGTTTCAGAGCGAACAACTACTTTGAGATGCATGTACATTCAGCCAAAGATGAGTTCTAAACAGGACGAAACACACGTCCTGAATTCCATTGCTAACTTCAACTGGTGTACGTATGTACGAAGTTCTACGTTGTAAGTGACTGACCGACTAACTGACTGTCTCATTATGAATTTATATTGAAAAACCCTTTCTATAATCCATATAGATGTAAAAAAAACGTAGTTTTATCGGTATTCCTTCCAATTCTTTTGCGGAAATCTGTTTTATCCATAAAATTCTTCTGTTGAATGTATTCAATTTTTTTGAAACATACTGTTCACCACAGCAATGAATCAAAAATTAATATTCCTCAAGTTGTAAACAATGTTGATTCTATTGTACAACAAAACTGTTTCATGTTTCATTACGCAAAGTTTAGAAGTTCTATTGACAAGAGTAATACATCTATTTAAAGAAAAGACTATTCAATGTTTTTGATTCCGATTTCGTTTGTCAAACAAAATCGGAATCATTTAAATTTCGTAAGCTGTTGCGTATTTTAATTACAAACAAAAGAGTATTGTAGTAAACTTAACTATATCACGTAACTGCATAATTATGATTACTGACGGTATGTATTCACATTGGATTAAGAAAAAATGTCTATTTACTATTGCAATACTATATATAGTATACTGGGAATTTACCGCCAATTGTCAATATTGTTCTTTTTCTTAACTAACCTCTGAACAAATGTGAAGCCTTTAATACGTAGTACGTACAAAAATTCCGTCAGTTGAATGAGTACACAATCAAAAATCAATGTCCAATAATAATCACTGAATTGAACATTGGACAAAATATTTTTTTTGAAGAATTTCAAATTGAATACATGTGCAAGAGACGTTCACTAGAACACAACATAAATAGTAGAGGGAATTCACGATTGACAGAAAATTTAGTTTTAAATGACGTAAATATAATCAGTATTACCGATAGTTCTTGAGTGGTTAAAAAATTGTAACTTTAGTAGACCTGAATGTGATAATACTTTATTTCAAGTCGAATAAGGTTTAGGTAATTTTAAAACTTAAGACGCAAACAGAACTTAGCTAGTGTACCAATGAAAACCTTGAACCCCTAGACAGTTGATTCGTCCTAGGGTGAGCCTTCACATTGTTGCATTTCCAGAGCCATGGATCTCGAGTGCAGACACTTAAACTCTAGACCATCATACTAGGATGCGATAACAGTTTACTGAGTCAAAGTTTACAATGATAGCCTAGTTAAGATCGGTTCGTGATTAAAAAAGGTAGTGAAGTAACCAAAAAGTAATTATTTGTGTGTAAGTACATTGAAAGTAAAACAAGATATTATGAGAAAACCATTTTGATCAAAAACTCACACCAGCTTAATAACCATAAAGAATTAGAAATTAAGGTAGACATGTTTTGTTTCTGTTCAAAATGCCTTAAAAATCATAATTATAGGTATTTTACAAAGCCTAATACTGATAAACAACCATTACCTTGCATTACATCATGTGCATATGATGTTAAGTCACTAACACTACGATCTGGTTGATAGAATTCACTCAACTTTAAGAAGGAAGTGACCTACATGACTTTAGCCATCACTCAGTGACCACCTAATGGTAAATATATCTTTTCCCTACAGAAGGTCAGTCACTGCTAGAATAGCTCAATGACGAAACTGGAGGACTTAGGATCAAATTTTCCGTGGTGCATCAGTCCCATCCTAATTATAGATACACCTTTCTGATAAGTGCCAAACAGCACGATTTTGTCACCTGTCTATATATGGGGTATCATGTGTCGATCTAACCTACAAATTACACAGGATTTAACATGGATTTCGCTAAAATGTTATGATGGTTAAAATCTATTATCTTTTCTGTCCTGAGTGAGTTACCTATTCTTTTAGAATATCAAAATTTAGCAAATAAATGAGCAAGTAATTATTTTCAGTTGTTTTACGTTCGTGAGGTGTTTTCATAAATCCTAAACTATGTGAGAACTACGGATATATCACTCTACAATCAGTACCAGAGAAAGTATTCAATAGAGTGTTTTTCAATAGGATGAAGGACTCCGTAAATGTCCGACTTCGAGATCTACAGGCTGGATTTCGTAAGGATCGATCGTGTACTAACCAAATCACGACACTACGGATCATTGTGGAACAATCAACTGAGTGGAACTCACCACTCTACATCACCTTCATTGACTACGAGAAAGCATTTGATAGCGTGGATAGGAAAACACTGTGGAGGTTTCTTCGACACTATGGAGCGCCTGAGAAAATAGTCAACATCATACGAAATTCTTATGACTGACTACACTGCAAAATCATGCACGGAGCACAGCTGACAAACTCGTTCGAGATGAATACCGGTGTCAGGCAAGGCTGCTTACTCTCACCCTTTCTCTTTCTCCTGGTGATCGACTGCATTATGAAGACGTCGACATCTGGAGGGAAGCACGGTATACAGTGGATAGCCAGGATGCAGCTTGACGATCTAGGATTCGCAGATAACTTAGCTTTCCAACCCCACAAAAAACAACAAATGTAAGAGAAGAAGACCAGTGTAGCAGACGGAGAAGCTTCGGAGGATGTAGAAACCTTTAAGTATCTGGGCAGCACCATTGATAAACAAGGTGAATCTGTTGCACATATGAAGACTCGGCTGGGAAATCAAGGGCCGTGTCTCTACAACTGACGATCAAGCAACCCCAAAGCTAGAATTTTTAATTCCAATTCCTAAATAGTTCTAATGTATGGGGTGGAAATTTTACGAACAGCGAAAGTGATCAACCACAAGATATAAATGTTCACTAACAGTTGTCTACGCAAAATACTGAGGATCGGTTAATCAGACATTATCAGCAACAGCCTATGTTGAGAGAGAACAAAGCAGATTTTGGTTGAAGAAAATATTAGAAGTTGAATAGAATACGCACTTAGGAAATCACCTAAATTCTTCACAAGACAAGCCCTCATTTGGAATCCTCAAGATCAAAGGAAAAGAGTAAATCTGAAAAATACATTGTGCTGAGAAATGGAGATAGACATGAGAAAAATGAACAGCAACTGGGTATTACTAGATACAAAGGCTTAGAACAGATTAGGTCATAGAATGCTGGTCGGCGGCTTGCGCTATACCCAAGGTAATAGGCGTAAGTATGAAAATAAGTTAATGACGTATTGCTATGGTAAGTGTGCTTTCTGTATAGATCGTATAGTTTAAATGCATACAAAACATATCACTGATGAATTTAAAAAGTAACGCATGAAAGAATAACAATCAATATACTCTATGAAATTTGTGTTCTAATCAACAAGGTAAAACATGTAACACCAACAGACATTAAACGATATTGTAACAACTATGATAACAGAAAAACACCATTTAAACTGAGAGAAATTAAGTTTCGATCAAGAGTTTTTCATAGTAAGAGTGCTATTCATG